GAGCAGTGCTGAAGGTGAGCAGGGAGCAGAGCAGAGGGCAGGAGTGGTACTGGAGCTGCCAGGGCCAAAGCACTAAAAAGCTTTGGGAGATAGATAGAGAGGGCCCACAGAAACCAGCAAAGACTTCTCCCATACTGAGTCCTAAGGACTGTGCAAAAGGGCTGGTGGAGGGAGCTGCTTGGAAGGCTGAGGCAGAGGCTCACAGGTCAAAGCCAGCCAGGGCAAGTTAACAAGACTGTATCTCAAAATAAAAGTCTATTAATTCAAAGGGTTGGTGCAATGTAGCTCAGTGTTATAGTGCTTGCCTGGTATGCATGAAACTCTAGATTCTATTTCTAGTACCATGGGGCGGGGAGCTGGGGGCAGCACAGAAGGGCTCTGCCAGCCAGAGAATGCAGGAAAGAAGATTCTAGAAACTACACCAAACTGTATAGGTGATCTGGTAGTAGCCATGGAGTAAACATACAGTGTGCTTGCTGCCAAGGATCAGCTGCTGACTGTATCATCAGCTCACTGGGGCTCCCTGCCCCACATGGCCCAGTAAAATTAACAAACTGAGACGCAAGACCACACAAAGTTACATCATGGCTAGGAATCCTGTGAGCATCCTCGTGGCTGCAAACATCCAGTTCCAACGAATGCAGCTATCGCAAACCTGTTCATCATGGCACTGACCAGCTGAAGTTTGCCCAGAGCTTCTCCTCTGTTGCAAGGAGTGAGGTGAATGCCACTGTGGGGCTCCAACAGTCCTGAATTCTGACCAGGTTGATAAAGATTCCAGGGATAAATTCTTCGGGTCTATGCTTATTCATAGCTTATCAGAAGGCTATCAGAAATGGTGGCACTCAGGGGATCACTAAACCAGTTCACAGCACAGGGCAATGCACAGGCTGACGGATGTAGGCTGCAGAGCTAGGGCCATGGGAAGGCCCAGAAATTCCACCACACTAAGTGTGGTTCTCACTGTGCAGCTGTCCCATTACTAGCCTGCAGACTGTTTTATGAAGGCTTTGCCAAATTATTAAAGTCAAATTTCAACCACACTAGAAGAATGTAAAGTGATGGAGTCATTGTTTTATTTTATTAGGAGATAAAATATTAGGACATAACAGGGTCCTTGTTCAGAATGCGCTGTGTGGCACAGCAGATGTACATTAGGATTTTTAACGGGCTAAGAGGTGTATCGAGACATGAAAGGATGGGGTGTTGAAGGACTCAGAGGTGTCCTTTATTACACAGAGGAAAAGGGGGGAGAAGTCTGTAAGAAACAAAGTAGAAGTGATCAATATGCTTAAAAAGTAAATGACTAAAAGGGATTGGAAGTCAAGTAAATTCCTGGGTGTACACTCATAGGACGTATTGGGTGAGGACAGGATCCAAAAGCCAGGGGAACTGGTGTGTTCATGCTCAAGCTAGAAAGGGCAGCCTAGGAACTCAAGGCAAGGGCTGCCTTTATAGGTGATGGAGACCTGGAGCTGCCAAAGTCACTTGGGTTTTCTTTTCCCCCAAGAAAAGACAGAAATGCAGATTTTTAGGCAGTCTCTAAGTTTTCAAATGTTATATCTTTTTTTTAATGTATCTAGTACAAGATCTACAGGGTCTCACTACACAGGTCAGACTCAAGTGATCCTCCTGTTTTCAGCCTCCCAAGCACTGGGATTCTAGACATGCACCACCACACCCAGTTTTAAATGCTGTTGTTTTTCAGTCCTTTTTTTTTTTTTGGTGTCAGGAACTGAACTCAGACAACACACTTGCCAGGCAGACACTGTTCCACTAAGCTAAATCCCCAGCCTCATCTTCTTTCATTTGAGAAATAATTTTTTTAAGATGGTCATTCAATCAACACTTAGAAATTACTCTATGACACGCTTTGTTCGTCTTTATACTTACATTATTACCACTATAAAACTTACTCACTAGCCAGGTATAGCGGAACATGTATATGGCTCCAGTTAGCTGGAAAGCTGAGGGGGGAAGATTGTTTGAGCCCAGGAGTTTGAGGTCAGTCTAGGCAACACAGACCTCATCTAAAAATAAATAAGCCACACTATGGGAAAATTTTTATGCCAGCTACACCTCACACAAAGGACTAACATCTAGAATGTAAAGAATTTTTAAAAGATCAAATCCCCCAAATTTAAAGACCCAATCCCAAAATGGGCATCTAAAATGAATAGACACGTCTCAGATGAAGAAGTGCGAACAAAATAAATAAGTGAAAAAATGTTCGGTATCATTGGTCATTTCAGAAATGCAAATTTAAACATTTAAGATTCCATCTCACTATAGAAAGAATGACTATCATCAAGAAATCAACCAACAACAAATGCTGGCAGGGCTATGGGAAAAGGAACCCTTCTCCATTGTTGGTGGGTGTGCAAGCTAGTACAACTACCAAGAAAATCAGTATGGAGATTCCTCCAAACATTAAAACCACAGGTTCCATTTGAACTATATGTGTCCCTTCTAGGAATCTCCCCAAGAGCTAAATGCATACCACAGAAAATGTGATTTGTATACAAGAGGGTACTAGTTTTCCATAAAGAAGGATAAACTTGAATCCTTATTAGATAAACGGATGCCCCCTTGAAAATGTAAGTAAAATAAATCAGACACACAAGTTTAATTATCTTGTTTTTTCTTGTGTCAGAAACCCAAGACTAAATAAGGAGCAAAATGTTCAAATAGGAAGGGAAGGGGGCTGGCGAGTTAGCTCAGCAGACTGAGCGCCTGCTTAGGCAAGCCGAGGGACCCAGGTTCTATCCCCAGTACGTACTCATGCCATGCTGGCCCTGCCCAGGGTGCACAGCCACTGAGACAAGGCATGGTGGTCCACACCTGTAATCCCAGCTCTGGGGAGGCTGAAAACAGGAGGATCACTACAAGTCCAAGCTGCGTAGCAAGACCCTGTACCAAATGCTTTTTTTTTTTTTTTAAGTGAGTAAAAAAAAAAAGTGAGTAAAAGCAGGGCTTGATGGTACACACCTATAATCCCAGAACCCTGGGAACCATGCCTGTACTTCCAGCTTCTCAGGAGGCTGAAGCAGGAGAATGGCAAGTTCTAGACCAGTCTAAGCAATTTAGCCAGACCCTGTCTCCAAAAATGAAAAGGCCTGGGTAGGTAGTTCAGTGGCACAGCCCTTCTGTGTTCAAACCTCAGTACTAAGAAAAAAAGAAAAGTGAGTCAAGCTGGGTGCAGGGCCAAGCACCTATAAATCCAGCTACGAAGAAGGTTGAGGCTGGTGGATGAAGAATTGCGGGGCCAACCTGGGCAACAGAGTGAGAGCCTGTGACATAAAAGAAAGACTAAAGGGAGGGAGGAAGGGAGGAAGGGAGAAAGGAAAGGATGAAGGGAGAGAGGGAGGGAAAAAAAGAGGAAGGGAAAGAAAAAAACGAATATAAGTAACTCTTTTAAAGTTGATTTTATATTAAGCATTAATTTTTATTTAGCACCTTCAACACCTCTATGATTTTTTTAAAATTCCATTTTATGGCTTGGAATATAATTCAGTGGCAGAGCATTTGCCCAGCACCCCCACCAAAAAAAATTCAATTTTATAGCAAGGCAATCATATACATATCCAAGCTTAAGCACATTCAACTAGCTAAACTTTCCAATCTTTTATGTCTTGCTTATAAATCTTATTTGAACAGTAGTGGCTATGGGTTCGGATATCTGTCTCAAAAATCCAACTTGTACTAATGGACCTTAACATCCCTGTCTGTAAAACGCAGTAATGTTTGTGCAGGAGCATGAGGACTGTATCGTAATGGGGGGTTAATACCAAGCTAAGCCCACAGTAGGCACCTAACTTTCCCCAGTACCAAATGATGCAAAATAAGAAATTAAAAATGTAGTGCTTAGGACAACAGACACATATCCATTAGATGTGAAAATGAGAACTACAACGATAATCCCGCAGCAATGTGAAAACTCTTCAATCCAATGCCTACATAATAGAAGGGTATGCCAAATTATAGCTAAACATAATCTGAAATATAATTTGCCATCACTTTGAAAACATTTTTTCTCACTTCCCCATAGCTTATAAGCACATAATCAATAACCATCTCCAAAAACCATAACTCACGCTAAACTGTTACATCCAGGAAAATAATGCCCAAAGCAATAACATTACAGCCAGCAAGTTTATTCACCGTCTAAACTGCATGCATTTAAATATATCCTACTCTGACACAGAGCCCTCTCCCCTTTCAAATAAGATGCTTAGTGTCAGAGAGGAGCTCAAAAAGTCAAGGCAGGTACCGGGGCTGGTGGCGCATATCTGTAATCCCAGCACTCAAGGGGCTGAGGCAGGAGGATCGCCAGAGTTCAAGGCCAGCTGGACTACATAGTGAATTCAAGGTCAGCCTGAACTACCTAGCGAGATCTTGTCTCAAAAAGGGGGTAAAAAAAATCTGGGATAAGGCGCACAGCGGGGAAACCACTGAGGCTTTGGGTCTCTAGTGTCAAAGGAAACCCCCACTAATGCCTAATCTCAGCTACTTCAAGAGCAAGGAAATCAAACTACATTATCTGCCGTTCTCTGCACTTGGCGGGTCCGCCCAGTCCTGGGCAATGCATCGTAATCACACATTCCCATTTGTTCACAGCCTACAGTTACAGCTCAACCCCTCCGGCAGGCTGCGGAGCCCCACCCGCGTGGTCCCCAGCTGGCTGCAACCTACACGCCCGCCAGCGCCGAGCGAAGCCCCGTCCAGCCCCTCCCCTCCCCTCCCCTCCCCTCCCCTCCCCGCCTCGCCCAAAGATCTGCACATGCGTACACGGAGTCCAGAGCGCTCGCCCTCGCCCGGCCCCTACGCCCAGCTGCCACGCAGCCAGTCCTTCTGCCCTTCTTTGGGCGGTGGCTTCACCTTTCAGTAGTTCGCCTGCGCAGACCGGCACGCCTGTAGCGGGCAGGAGGCGGGGCGGTGGGTGGGACCAAGGCGCTCGCGCACGCTCCGGGCATGCGCAGTGCAGCGGCTGAAGCGCCCGCTGTCGACTTGGAAGTTCCGGGGAAGGAGCGCATGCGTGAGTGTACGCTTAGCCGGCGAAGAGGGGAGTCTGACGACTCGGAAATTTGAATACCACAGTAGCATGGAGTGTGACCTCATGGAGCCTGACATCTTGGAGTCGTTGGAAGATCTAGGGTAAGGCTGCCACGGCACGGGTCTCCCGAGCCCCGCGCTGTTGGCGCCCCGGGAACCCGTCCGCGCCTGTCTCGAGACACCTGCCTGTCCACGCCGCACCCGCGGCTGCTGCTGTCGCTCCCCTGCGGCCCCGGGACCCCCGGTGCCACGTCCACTCCCTGGCTGCCGACGTGGGCCCTGCGCCCGCGCGCCCCTGCCGGGGCCGGTCCCCCGCAGCCGGCAGCCCGCCGCGCTGGCCGGCCGTGCGTGTCATTGTCTGGGCTCCCTCCTCCACCCCACGCCGGGCGCGCTCCTCGCCCCATCCTGCCCTGCCCCCCCAGCCCCCGGGCTGCAAAGTTGACTCTCGGTCGCCCCGCTCGCCTGCGCCTTCCTGCCCGGAGCCTGCGCTCCCACCCCACCCACCTCGCTCCGAGAACCTCCTTTGCCCAGTCATCCCCCCGTGCGTCCCGCTGTCCCCAGCCACATGTCTGGGCGCTCCTCCGACCCTCCAGCCAGCCCAGAGGTGCGCACAGCCTACCGTCACCTGCCTGGAAACCGCTGGCAGCTCTTCCCCAACTGGAAAAACTCTGTCTCGTTGCGTTCATAAGCCCACGTCCGCTTCACCCGTTAAAAACCTGCGTGTTTGTTTTACATTTGCTTTATCTTCCTGGCATGCAGTCATAATTCATCAGTACCTCAAAGCTTGGAAATAGGGCTTCTTATCTCACTGGGTCACCCAGATCAATGTACTCCATTAACTTGAGAACTTGGGACCTCTGGGGCTCACCGTGGCTCCTGAAACCAGTTGTGTGATTTAAGTATTTGCCTACAGGTACTATTTCAAAAGAAAAAAAGTACAAGTTTAGGTAGTTGTATTGGGAAGTGACTAGTGTTTTATCAAACCGTTCTCTTAGGCTTTTTCATGACCAGAGAAAACATTAAGATAAGCCTTTCTTAAAGGACACTTCCGAGGGTTTCCAGAGTTGGCCCATTTTAATAACTTGCTTGTTCTAATTGAAGTTTTTAAGAAAAGAAGCAGTGGTGCTAATCTTTCTTTGTCCAAGTGAATTTCCAGCGTTTTTTCTTTTCATGAATATGCCCGATCTTAGGCAGCTTATTACGTTCATTAGGGTGTAAGTAAAAGTCACATTCTGCAGAATGATCTATCTTGGGGCATCTCACACAGAGCCTCTTGCTCATGTGTGAAATCAGAGGTTTTTTTTAATTTTTAAAAATCTTATCTATTTATTTGGTACAGGGTCTCACTACGAAGCTCAGGCTCATATAGTGATCCTCCTGTCTCAGCCTCCCCAGTGGTTGGACTATAGGCGTGCACCACCACGCCCGGTTTTGGTACTGGAGGTCGAACCCAGGTCCTTAGCTTGCTAGGTGGGTGCTCACACCGTTGAGCTATCCCCCCCCCTTTTTTTTTGTGGAACCAGGGATTGAACTCAGGCCCTTGTGCTTGCCAGGCAAGTGCTTATTCTACTGAGCTATCTCCCCAACCCTACCTCCCCATTTTTGAGGAATGTTTGCTCTGTGACCCTTGTAGGCCTAGGCACTTAGGCAGAGAGCAAGGTGAGGCAAAAAGAAGGTTCACAGGATATAGTGAGAGTATCTCCTGGGGGCACTGGAAAGGAAACAAAGTCCTTGAAACTTCCTGAAAGGAGTGACACCTGCAGTGTGTTGAAGGAGCCCAGGAAGAGAGGAGTGGGCTTTATCTAATTGTGGTTGTTCCGCGTGGATAAAGGTCACTAAACAGTTGGCTATGGATTCAGTTTCTTACCATTATAGTTTTTTTACTCCCTTTTAGCTGTATTTTTCTGACCTTGGGAATAAAAAGTAATTATTATTATAGTAATTGTAATTAGAGAAATGATAGAATTGGTCTGTAATGTAAACCTTGAGGTTTTATGAAAACTGTTTATAAATTCTAATTTAGTTTGGTGGCATTCAAATATTAAAATTCAGCTCTAATTGATTGCCATCTAGTTTAAGGGATTCACTGAAAAATATTAGAGTTGAATGTCTGTCTTTTACCTTTAACCTGGCACACAGTAGGAATTCAGTGTCCACTTGTTAAATAAATCAGTAAAGTGTTAACTGTGAAACACAAAGAAAAATCTCTAGGCCTACTTTCTTTATTCCATTATCCAATAATGGATTTTGAATCTAGATGCTAGACTATGTGTAACCTCAGATTTATTCTAAAATTTTTATCATTCCATTTCATATGTAAATATGTAATCACATTGTTAAAGGATTGAGAATTGTCTTTTCCCCGATATAGCTATCCCTCTAAATATCACATGATTTTTAAGTATAGTTCATGTATCATCTTAATAAGTATTTCATCAATATTTCATTTAAAAGAATGTAAGGCAGAACACTATTTTAGGATTTCTTTGAGCAGCAAAATCTTAAGTTTTAGAGCATAGATGATTATCGTTATTACTATTATGAATGTTCAAATATTTTGTAATTACATTGAACTCACAGAAGATTAGTATTCAGATGCACCAGTTTGCAAACTGGCTATCCGTATTTAAACTAATCTTAACATTTCTGTAGTACTAGTATTTCTTACTACTCTATAGAAAAGAGAAATAATTAATTACAAAAACTTTAGTCACTAAAAGTAACTTTATTTCTGGAAAAAATTTCTAGGAAATATATCTGTAATAATAATGCTAGTTCTAAAACAGTTAAGTATAATTACCACTTGTTAATCTTCTTTGAATACTCAATTTGGTTGTAATAAACCTTTGTACAATAAGAGCTCCAGTAAATCTGCAAAAGTTGACCTAAGTTAGTAGTATATGTGATTTTGTTAATCACATATTTCTTAGGATTAAAATGCAGTTGTTATGTGGCTTATTTTTCTAACAGCTCAACGCAGTTTTAAGTTTTGTTTACATTTGCAAGTTTAGAAATCATTCATCATGGTTCGTCTTTATTGAATTATTGCTTAATAAATACATGATTATTTTGCCTATAATACATTGGGTGTGATTTTTTTCTGAAGCGTAATTTCTTCTTCACCAGTTATAAGGGTCCATTGTTGGAGGATGGTGCCCTGTCTCAGGTGGTCTCTGCTGGAGCCAGTTCCCTGGAGTTTACCAAACTCTGTGCTTGGCTGGTGTCAGAATTAAGAGTGCTCTGTAAGCTAGAAGAAAATGTGCAAGCAACTAACAGTAAGTAGTAGACTTTCATTTTTCAGTGCAAAGTATAAAAATAAAATTGTTGACTGAACATTATTGGTACCATAAAATTTTAAATTGTTTGTAAATTGGAAGAAAAATTTCATAAAACAGCCAGTATACTTTTGATTTTTGAGGTAAGATGATTTAGAAATGGAAAAGCCGTCGCATAGTTGTATATCCATAAACCCTTGCAGAGTCTGAGAAGACCTTTATTGAAATATAGCAAGATGGAGAATAAAGAACAGAATGTATGAACTTTCTGTACGTTATAAAACATGAATTGCCAGATCCTGGATTGGCAGCTACAAATTGGGATGTTTTTCTTTTGAGATGACTAGATTCCAGAAGCATGAATAGCATGCAAAGTAAATACATCACACTTTTGTGATGCTTAGGAAGAAAAGGGTTTTGTTAAGATGCCTTCTTTATCATAGGGTGTCTCATTAAATGCATCGCAGTCAGATCCGGTGCCATCAGATTTACAAGGCTGAGAGCTGTTACGTGTTTGCCAGTTTTTTTACTGCTTTACCCTAAGTTACCGACTCTGTAAAGGAAAGGAACTCTTGGAGCCTGACACTCCACCATCTGACTCCCTTCTTTCTGCCCTGGGCAAACCTTCAGTAGACAAACAAAAATGCCCACCTGTTAATCCACCTTTATGGAGAACTATACACAAAGTCCCTTCCCCCCCCCACATAATCCCAATTTGAAGAACTTATTCTTGGATGTTAGCATATTGAATGCATATATATTAGTTGCATCCAATTCAAATTAGCCTCTGTGTGTGCTAGAGATTGAACCCAGGGCCTGGCACCTGCTAAGCAGTTGTTCTACCACTGAGCTTTGCTCAGTTAAAATTATTAAGGAAGATCTAATGTAACGGTATGATAGTAAAGCTTACTACAGTCATTGAGTACTTACTGTGTGCTAAGCTTTTTGCATGTGTTAACTCTTCATCCTCTGGGCAGTTGTATGAGGCAGGTTTTATTGCCCCATACATCAACAAAGAAAGCCCTGAAAAGGCAGGTAGATCGCCTGAGGCAAAGCCAGAACTCTGCGGCCCAGCAGTCGAGTTCAATTCAGGCCAGGGCTCTTACCCTCTGTGCCTCTTTTTTTTTTTTTTTTGTGGAACCAGGGATTAAACTCAGGCCCTTGCGCTTGCCAGAGAAGTGCTTATTCTACTGAGCCAACTCCCTGGCCCCACCTACCGTGCCTCTTGACCTGACATGCCAGACTGAAGGAACCTTTGAAAACACCTGCCCTAGAGAACTGTTTTGAACTTGCAGATTCTTTGTTCAGGTGGCACATTACATAGAAGCAACACATGAACCAGGTCAGAAAGTGTAGCTCTTCTGCTTGGAGCAGAGAACGCTACCTGTAGCACAGCTCAACCCTCATCCTCCTTAGCTGGCTGAACGGGAGCTCCGTGAAATCCCAGCTTGTATACATCACAGTTGACAAAGCACTGTTGATGCAATCTTCCTGTCTTACCCTCCCATCTCCCCAGCTACCTCTAAAGGAGCTCTGAAACACTATCGTTTGCTAAATAGTGGTTATGGTACTTGTTTTACAGATGCAAAAATGGGTGGATCAGGTGATTCAGTGTTTGTTAATTCTCCCCCTCAATGATACTGCGTAGAGAACAATCACCTTGCTCATTCTAAGACCTGTATGTTTTTTTACATGTTACAGAAATATAGAAGTAATGTTTTCTTTCTATCTTCAAATTCAGTCTAACTGGGAATATTAGGTACCAATGAAATAATTAGGTATGGGTACATGAATTAAATGCTGTCCCTTGAAGCTCACAGGAGGAAGTCAGTGTTACCAAGAGTACTTAGGGGACCTTTCACTGAAGAGCAGGACCACTGGGCTTGGATAGAGAGGTGGGATATGCTACAGGAGAAAATGTCAGTCACAGGAAGTAATTTAAAATGGAAGGCTCAAAGCCAGGTGTGGTGATGCACAGCTGTAATCCCAGCAGTCTGGAACACTTAGGCAAGAGAATTGCAAGCTCAAATCCTGTTCAGGTAATTTAGTGGCACAGTCCCAGAAATTAGAAAGGTCTCGGACTGTGAGTTCAGTGCGCAGGCCTTGGGTCCAGTCTCTCGTAACGCACATACATGCACACAAAAGAAAGCAAAAGGATGTGCAATTGGCCTTTCCAGGAAAAGTGAGCAGATCAGCCTGACACAAGCAGAAGGGCTGTTTGTGCAGGCAATGAGTAGACACTTAAAACTGCTCAGAAGGATAAATATTAGCAGCTGTAAGTTTTAAAGGTTGACAAAAAAAAAAAAATTGGATTAGGTGAAGTGTAAATTCCAAGCCATTAAGGATTGTCAAACGAAAGAACAGCCAAATGAGCACTGTGTAAGAAAAGATTTATAGAGGTTTGGGAAAGATGAACTGGAAGGAAAAGGAGCTCATGTTTAGAAAAGCATATTAAAAACTTAAATGTGTGTACAGTAACTATTATGCTAATGGAAAAACAACCAGTATCATTAGATAAGATGATTGCAATTCTTCAAAGGTCCAAATGAAGCTGAAGAATTCCAGCTTGAGGTGAGTGGGCTGCTAGGGGAGATGAACTGTCCGTATCTCTCACTGACATCTGGGGATGTGACCAAGCGCCTGCTCGTGCAGAAGAACTGCCTCCTCTTGCTCAGTAAGTTCCTAGCTACTAGATGTTATTTTCTATTTATGTTTTTTTTTTGACTGATAAACTAGTTGTTGTTCTTGTTTTATCTCATTGCATGTTTAGTACTGTTTATTATTAAGAAATATGCAACAGTCCAAACCTTTCAGAAATGTCCAGTTCAGGAGCGATGGTGGGCATGTGTGCGCTGGAAGCATGGTCTCTGTAATTGATATGCCCTCTTAGCATTTCCACTCTGGTGCTCCTGGCTGTCCTGCCTCGCCTGCAGTGACCCAGGGTGGGGCCAGATTGGTGTTCTCCTGTGTGATCACTAAGCCTTTGCATTCAAGAAGACAAACACATTTTAAGTAGATGGGGAAGATAGTGGGGAATAATAAAGGTTTTTAAAAACTATTCTGAGGAGAGTAAGCATTCATCAGATACAGTGATGCTAGTATAAGTGTTTATTCTGTCTTACCGCTATTTCTTTGGGATTTTCTTGTTTCAAGATTTTATTTTCATCTGTAAATATTACTTGGATGGCTCCTGTAGAGTTCTACTGACCATTCTGGGAAATAAAATTTTATGCAGAACCCTTGCATGTTTTTATATACTAATAACTCTTTGTTTTCTTAACTTTGAAATAACATTAAGTATGCTCATAAGGCATAAATTTTATTGCCTCACATAAATACAGTAGTCTTAATTCAGAATTTTTATAAGATTAAGCTTTGGTTAATTTGACTGATAAATTTTCATTATTACAAACACAATTCAGGAATGAAAAAAATAAATATTTGCCTTTAGAACTCAGATGGTCATGGGGAAGCACACCTGTATTCCCAGCACTCAGTAGGCTGAAGCAGAAAGTTTGCCATCATTTTGAGGTCAGCCTGGACTATGTACTGAGTTCAAGGCCAACCTGAGCAGCTCAGTAAGACCTTGTCTCAAAAAGTCAATTGATAAGTAAGGTAAAACTGTAGTTTTGAAGGTCAAATTAAAAAGCATTTGTATGTGGGTGTGATGGTACATGCCTGTGATCCCAGTATTCAGGACGCTGAGACTGGAGGATTGTTGTGTGAGGCCAGCCTGGGCTACATAGTGAGTTCAAGGCCAGCCTGAACTGGAGAGTGAAACCCTGTCTCAAAAAAGCCAGTGTTTGTAGCCGTTTTACTTAGAAGTTGTTAAGTTACTCCAGAATCACTTTCTTCTTTGTCAGACAATTGTTACTGAGAGATAACTGGCTCAGATATCCTACCAGTAATATTTGGTGTGTAGACTATTGTTTACATAGGAAGATAAGAGCTGTGTGGAATGATTGCTTAGTGATGACCTTCCATTGCTAATTTGCTAGCTTATCTAAAGAGCTCAGCGTTTAGCCTTTTTATCAATGATGCTTAAAAACAAAAATAAAAACAAAAGAAAACAAAAAAACAGCTTTGAATGCAAGGTTGTATAAAATGCTTTTAACTCTTTCCTGTTTTTTAAGCAAATTACACCAAAACTATTTTGGACTCAAGGTCATAACTAATAGACTTTGATTTTTTAATGTGCTGTCATCTCAAAAAGTTTTTAGTAGTCACTGTTTGTTCTTCAACTAAATGACAAAATCAGCTAAAGGCTATTTGCTTTTCAAATTCTTCATATACACACACCTTCTGTATCTTCGCCTTGCTGTTTTCTTCTTTTTAGCGATGTTCTGTGCAATTGGTAATCTTTCATCGTAATATTTCAAACACTTATTCATTGCTGCTTTGTGTAATTAATTCTCACCCTTCCAGGTAATAGTTGTCACATCTTGCTGTTACAATTTTACTTTCCAGCACCTTGCCTCACTAATTTGAATCTTCGTAAGGGGGGTGGGGGGATAAATGGAGCTGTTAATAAAGCAAAATAGTTTTTGAGTGTGTTGTTTCAAAATTCATGCATCAAGGGCTGGCCAAATAGCTCAGTGGATTAAAGTGCCTGCAAGCAGGCACAGGGGACAGGGATTCAATTCCGGGGCACCCTGAGATGCCAGTTGAGACTGGGCATGGTGGTGCATGCCTGTAATCCCAGCACTTGGGAGGCTGTAAACAGGAGAATCATTACAAGTCCGATCTAGTAGTGAGACCCTGAAACCCTGTAGACCCTTCCCTAAAATTTAAAAAAAAAATTAAAATTCATGCATCAGGTTGACAATTTTTTTACCTGTTCTTTGACCTTTTATGTTTCTCAAATTATTTCCCATAGATAATTAAGACAGATCAGAGATGGGATTTTTTTTTTTTTTCTGTTGTTTTTCTCCATACCAGGGATTGAACCCAGGACCTTTGTACTACGCTATATCCCTAGGCTTTATTTTTTTATTTTGAAACAGGGTCTTGCTAAGTTGTCCAGGCCATAGGACCAGAACTTGTGATCTCCTGCCTCAGACTTTGCGAGTACCAGTATTACAGCTGTTTAACCACCACACCAACCAGTGTTACAGTTGTTTTTGTTTTGTTGGCCTTTGTGCTGAACTACATCCCCAGCCCTTTATTTGAGACAGGATCTTGCTAAGTCACTGAGTTGCCTAGTGATCCTCCTGCCTCAGCATTCCCTGGTGCTAGAATTACAGGGGTGTACCACCATGCCTGGCCAGTTAAGAATTCTGGATGAAGAATTAGTTATCTTTTATAGGGGAAGTGGTCTATCTTAGCCAAAGTATCAGTTAGAGATAATCTTTCTTTTGAAAATAGTATCTTCAGTACATTCCTAGTGTGTTAAGGCTTTACCAGACCTATTTAAAATAACCCAAACATCTGGTTTATTGTTTTAGAACAGGAGTTGGCAGCTTTTCAGAAATTTGCAAAGACTATGGCCCCCTTGGTCCTAGCCTTACACCTTGAGGATAGTAAATGAGATACTTAAGCTCATCACTTTTTTGCACTTCTAATAGGGCTTTAACGGGCTAGAAAATGTCTTTTTCCAGTATCATGTTCTTCTGTCGTCAGAAGGATTTTACTATGCCACATAACCTGAAGTCATAAGATTCAAGTGATTATTAAATCATCTTTATTAAAAGTTAAATGAACTTGGGAAAGTGAAAGGAATAGAATTAGTTATATCTTCAACTAAGTTACCTGAACAGATTGTGTTCCTCCATATTTCTGGCTGAAACCATCTTGTAAAGGGACCATACTGACACAAAGGAGACTGCCAAAACAGGATTCAAAAGCTTTGTTGGGCGAGAGGGCGTAAGTTGAGAAAAGCAGGGAGAAAGGACATTCTCACAGCAGAGAAGGAAGAGGCTTTTTTACACAGCCAGAGGGCGCCAGAAGGATACTGCAGACTTGGGAAAGGCACTTCTGAGAGTTCAGTGCTCTGCATTTCTGTAACTCAAACTTTGAAACTTGGGAACGTTTCACACTGTTGTAGACGGCCTACTTATTGCGGGACAAGAGAGCACGGTAGTCATATCAGTCGTGCTCCTAAGTGATGAGAGTATGTATGTATGTGTGTATATTTTTTAACTGCCACTAAAAATCGGCCATTGTCTTGGAAATTTCTTTAACAGATGCCAACCTCTGTTCTGAAGATTCTTTAATAATAGAATGTAAAAATCCAAACTTGAGGTGTGATCTACCTTGAACCTTTCATTTCAAAGAAGAAATGCTTAATTTTAAATTAAACTTTATCATTATATATTGGTTAAATACCTGAATTATATAACCGGTTTATGTGTTGTCATTTGCAGGTAAAAATGGTTTTTCTTTCTTGTTTTTGTCCATTCTTGCAGCTTTAAAAGTTACATATCATTAGGTCTATAGAGTTGTGACTCCAGATTTTTGACTATTAACTATAGCTGTATCTCATTTTGAAATCTTATTTTGTTTACTTCAGCATACCTCATCTCAGAACTAGAAGCTGCCAGAATGCTCTGTGTGAATGCTCCTCCAAAAAAAGCTCAAGAAGGAGGCGGTAGTGAGGTCTTTCAAGAGTTGAAAGGCATATGTATTGCTCTAGGAATGTCCAAACCTCCAGCCAATATAACTATGTTCCAATTCTTCAGCGGGATTGAAAAAAAAGTAAGACCTTTAGTACCAGATTGTAGTGTATTAAAGGCATAGTCCTACATTTGTTTGATAGAAACATTAAGTATATTTCTCTTAATGGGAACCTAATGTGCATAATATTAAGTAATCGTTACTGAATAAGTTTTGGATTTTAAGTCCTGGATGATTTCATAAGAAATTAATATTTTTAAAAAACATATTAGCGTGTCTCTTTTCCAAAAAGGAAATTTTACACTTTGTATTAAAAGCTGAGGTAAGCTAGATATAATGTGAAAACAATTAAGATTTACATCCTTTTGAAAATTATTATATGCAATTTTTATGGTGTTTATCATTAAATGTCACCACCCTCTTCCTTTGACTGGATTAAAAAAGGATGTTTTCTGTTTTTTAATTTATTCACTTTGAGTCTTTATATGTTCCAATTGGCAAATAAGATTTGTTGGCTGCTAAGATTTACTATATGAAAATAAATTAGATTATTTTTGTACCACACATTATGAACCGTTATTTGAGTACAAGAGAATGGTATTCATTGTGATAGACTTACTCCCTATATGCATATCTCCTGGACTGTAAGACTTGGTTTGTACATTTGCATACTGGGGTAGATCAGCACCAGGACGCTCAGATTTGGCTGAATGCTACAGGGGCGCAGCAGTGTATCTGTAGTCATTATTTTTCTGTGTGTTCATCCTTCATCATTCAGCAAATGCTCATTGAGTGCCCTCTGTGGTCAGGCACTGTTCTAGGTGCTTTGAAGGAGTCTTGCTTCCATAGGCACGTGAGGAGTGGGACAAGTGAGTGTCTTTATCTCATGGGTCTTGACATTTATGTTTCAAAACATCCTCCACCTTTGCCTCTGTCAGGAGTCTTCTTTTGATGGCAAGATATGATGGGAGTTGGGAAGATATGTTTTACTGTTATACTGTTTATTCATTTATGTTTTTGTGTCAGTTAAAGGAAACATTAGCGAAAGTACCACCCAATCATGTGGGAAAGCCTTTACTGAAGAAGTCAATGGGACCGGCCCACTGGGTAAGTAGTAATTCTTTCAGTAAACGTAATAAAGAATCCCCTGTATTCATGGGTTTTGTGTGAGCACTTTTAATTTTGTACTTTTTAAGTTGTTTTCGAATACATGATTATCTAAATGGGCATCCTTAGAAACATTTTTGTGACTTTCAGTGTTTATGCATAATAATTTTGTTTACAATTAGATTTACTTTTCTTTCTTTTATATTGGGGATTGGACCCAGGGCTTTGTACTGAGCAGTATCCACAGCCTCTTTTTCCTTGTGAGACAAGGTTTTGATCCATTGCCCAGGCTGTGCTTGAACTTGGAATCCTCCTGCCTTAGCCTCCTAGAGTGTTGGGATTACAACAGGCACCACCAGTGCCTGGCTGTAATTTGTAAATATTTCATAGGCTAGTTAAAATAAATTGTCTCAGTATGATGCATGTTTCTGATTGCCAAATGGATTCAAGCCAAGCACTTCGTGGGGCTGAACTGCATACAGTGAATTATGGGAAAGCTAAGTAGGAATTTTGTAG